GCGGGACGCTGAGATATCAGCCCTCTTTCCGGATGCTTCCGCCATACACGCCGTCACTTGGGAGCTCGTGCAGTCCGAACCACGAGTGGGATCATCGTAGCCTAGCGGAGATCGTCTCAACGTTTACTTGTCTCAGAGCGAGCTGGAGTGGCGAGGGCACTGCATAGTAGAGTTCGCTAGTGTGAATGTGCGCAACAAGCAGTTCTCCAACCTGCAGGGGTATTTTTCCCACGGCGTGAGTCGCGTGATCCGATTCTTTCAGTTGCACTGATGTGTTCGTTGGCTACGACTGGGAGGTGGCAGAGGAAGTTAATGAGGAGCTGCTGAAGCAACTAGCGTCCGAGTTCGGCGTCGTCAATCATGCGAGAATCCCGGCCAAGTTTCGGCCGCCCTTTAAGAAAGATGAGAAAACTCGTCCATTCGGTTTCGTATCTTTTGCGCACCGGGAAGACGCAGTTAAAATGGGCCGAAAAAAGAGCCTTCGAGCTCCCGGTAAGCGAAAATCAGCAGCTCCGTTCCGCTCGCAACTGTGCTCCCTTCAGGCACTGGTGCTGACGGAAGAGTCGTTCTGTTGCGCCCCAAACTCGGTAAACATTTAGATGGTCCATTGAAGAGAGTACCCGTGAAAATCGGTGATTACATCGAGGTTCACAAAACGTGACTTTCCATCGGTTTCGAGTTGCGTTATACCCCTTATAGGAGCACTCGTGGGGATCTTCTGTCACTTTCTAGTCTACATGTCCCTCCCTGCCCACTTTCCCATCGTGCGCCCCGGTTGCACCGAGGTTTCTACTAAGTTCTTCGACTGCTTTCGAGAGGCTTGCCAGCCAGAAGGAAACGTCGAGAAGGCGCGTACGGCAGTACAGCGCTGTGAGAAGGAACTTGAGGTGGGCTTATTCAGCCGACTCTTCCCTAGGCATGTGGTTTCAGGAATACAATAAGTGTTTCGAGGAGAGCTTGAAGGGCCGTGCTCAGCCTGTTGTTCTTACTAGATGGGAACAAGTCGAAGAGATGCTGAAGGATGACGATTGATATAAACCAGCATGTGTCATTATATTTACGTTTCCTGTTGACCGATTCACCCTCGAGCAAACCAGTAGTCCCACGATATGAGGA